GCAAGACACTGCGCCTGTCGGTAATCTCTGGTTGCTCAGGCCCAGTGAACTCCATGGTGGCTCATGACTGATTGACCTCGTCGGCGGTTCATCAGGGCAAAGGCAGTGGCGGCGTCAGTTCCGGGGAGGGGGGGGGGGGGGGCAGCACCAGCCCAGTGGCAGCACACTCCACCGCACCTCGTCCGTCGTTTGATGCCGTGACAGTCAGCTGTGTCCCCCCCCCTAACCCCGCCCCCGTCAGTTGCCTGCATGAACCCGCATAGCGTGGGCGCGTTATGAACCGGGCCACCCTGACGTCCCGTGCTGCCGGTGTGCCGTTACATTCGACCGCCCGAGCTATCAGCGTTTGGCCATGGCTACTCTGCACGGATCCGATTGTTGCACGCGGTCGGCCGTTACTGTCAATAAAAATAGTTCAATGTCATCGTCAAAACCGCAATGACTCAACAGCATCCCATTAGCGCACCACTGTGTCACACGCCATTAAATGACCTGTGCAGCGCCACTCGACAGGCCAGAGCGTGCAGTTCAACGCAAGCGCGCCCTGCATGGTTTTGCTGTTGTGCGAACTCGATGAGCATTATGGTGCTCACTGCACGACAAAAATGAGCGCCTTCACACATCTCGCACAAGAAAGTGTCATGATATTAAGCTGTTTTCTCCAATCATTTATTCTCCGATCGACGCAACTATGCATCTTCAGACGGTCGCAAGGAGAAACCGCAATCAAGCAGATGAGATGCTATAGATTTGTTTAATCGATAGCTGCGATGGGTGTAACCGGCGATCGTTTGTAATTTTATCATCCGAGTTGAATTGTCTTGCCTTAAATGAGAAGTTTACATCATATATATATATATATATATATATATATATATGTATATATATATATACATATGTATATATATACATATATATACATATATATATACATATATATATATATATATATATATATACATGCGTTATGGGTTGAAACTCCCTCGTTGATTTAACAATTTTTATAAAACTTCGAACTCATAATGCCAAAAAACAGGGGCTTAAGGTCTTTTTTCTTATTTCTTATATCAAGCCATGTCTTTGTTATGGAACGGGATAAGCATCGTTATTGGCGTGGTATCTCCGTATTTAACTACAGTGAGCACCTGTTCGCCGTGTTGCCATGCCAGAAGGTGTCATTCTGGTGCTCCAATAACAGCCGCTGACTACTGCTGGCCTCCAGCGGTGGTCGAACCTGCCGACTTGGTGGATATGGTCGGCGACATAAATGTATATATTCCCGCAACGCTTGGTGCCAAAAACTGTTGTTGGACAGCAAATTTTGGTGACGAACAAGACGAAAAAATACAGCACACCATGCAAAACATAAAATCAGGCCTACATACAAAGATATTATGCCTCCATGGTAATACATTTCTTCACACAACACCGGCGAATGTTACCGTAAAGACTCTTTACCGTACTCTACGGCACTTCAGAGTGGTTTGGCAATGGTGGCCAGCGGTCATCTGTGAGCACAATCGCGCGAAGTCTGGATTGATGTTAAAACAAACGACTGCGTGACTTGTTTGTTGTGTACCCATCTTTTCTTTTACATGGCCATATATTTTCTTCCGCATGCTAGACTATCTTTGTTTTCAAGACGCGGCCTGCGTGGCATAAATTGCCTTGTTTCTCGGTCGCCCTTCGACTACTGGCAGCCACTGCCGAATATTTGTCGTTTCTGGGGTCGACTGTGTTCACGACATTCTCCTCCTTCGATCAACACCGCGAGCGTAACATTTCTGGCTCGAAATATCCGCTATCTGCGTCACTGGCTGTCGCCGGCGCGTATTTTTAGCGGCGTTCTCGTGCGGCGGCGGAGGCGGCGCGTATTTTGGGTCCACCCAGGTCGTCCCTCGGTGCCTGCCGACCGCATCCGACAGGTGGCTGCTGCCAGACGGCGGCGACATTCGAGCCCCAGCTCGTCACGGCCGTGGAACAGCGCGATTAGAATAGCCGGCGGCGTTTGAAGCTGCTTTCCGCTGGGCTGCCCCGGCCAGGGCCAAATGGCGGACCGGAGGCGGGTCCGATGGAGACGGAGGGGGGGGGGGGGGACTGACTCCTGAAGGACGTATAAAGAGAGGTTCAAGGTATACAGCTGAATGCTAAAACTAGTTTCTGGAGAAGGGCCCCTCAAAAGATGGTGGCCGAGTTTGAGAAGGATGGAATGCTACGACCCTGAACAACCAACGTAGAGACTCATTTCAGGAGTTGGCCTGGTTTCTCGAGACTCGAACTAATAATTCACTGTACATAATTTGGTTATGCTGCGTGGACTCAGGTAAAATAGTTGTGGCAATAAAGTAACTGGCCAACGATCCTGAATGTACTAGCCAGCGCATTTTGGGTTTAATTACATGTAAGCATGCCTTCCCCGCAGACAATCGCTTTTACTCACATGTAAAGTTGGATGCAGCCAGACGTTTGTGTGATATGTGCAGAATGTCGGCGCACCTTCTCTTTGTTCGTACGACGACTTCCCTTTTGCCATTGTTGGATTTTGAGGCTGCAATATTCATGCATAATTCTGGCTTTAAAATGGTACATCTGAAGGGCTGTTAGGTACCACCGTCATGAACCAGCAGCTAGGGCTTACTTCAGTGTTTTAGGCTGTGGCGTTAACGTTTGGCGGGCCGAAAAACGTGCATACTGCAATATGTTGCTGTGCTTTTTTCAGGAAGGAGGGGGAGGCTACCAAACAGCGAACGTATGTCTTTGTTATCTGGACAATATGGTTGGAATGCGCTTTATATCTTGTGTTATTTAAATGACAACATCGGGTAAATGTGGTACAGTTGAATACATTCAGCAAATACAGCTGAATATTTGAATTTGTTGCCGGGAAGTTAATGTCGTGTATTGTTTGGTCTCCGTATTCTCGTTGCAATAGCTTGGAACGTCCATGTGAGGAATTTTACAGCCTGTTCAGGTTTTTATCGTCTACCATGACTCTCCAAACGGTCGGGGTTTGAGTCACTGATGAGGTTCTCATTTTCGCTGTCTTTCAGATGACCCATATCATCTGCCGGCAAAGCGGCTGCTGTATGCGGTCTTCGCAAATGTATGTCGGATGTAAAAAAGAAATGAGAACTTGCAACTGTTATGAACTGTTGCAACTGTAATTGCAACCGTTAGTAAATATCGCCCAGATTTTTTATCTCCATGATTCATGACCTAAATGACACTAGACAATAATTATTGGCAAAACGCATGCTTTGCCAACATTCGGCAAGACTGGTTTGGATTCCGACGTCTGTGTTGTGAGGATTTTTACAGCTTGTACGGGTTTATGCCGCTTTACCTTGAGATTTTTCCCGGTCAGCCAGTGAGAGTAGTCGCGGCCGGGCAGGCATGCCGTCTCGTTCAGTGAGGGTAGTCGCAGCCGGGCAGGCGCGCCGTCTCGTTTGGCGTGCGGAGGACGGGGCGCACGTGCTCTCGCCGCAGGCCGAGCTTTTTATCAGCCAGCAATCCTAATCTGAACCGAGCTTAATGTTTCTCCTTGGCTGAATTGCTTGAGTTATGTGAACCGCGCCAGATGAAACCTTCGCCAAATTGTGCTACAAACGGGACCATTTTCGGTGTGCGAATCATGTCAATAGATAAACAATAAATGAAGTGTGGATCACGTTTCACACGTGCCAGCGATTTTATGTCGCTCTTGCACCGCCATCTAGGATCTGGGCTCATTGCAGATGACAGTGGCGATGTTGCTATCGTTCAACGTAATAGCTTGCCAGACAATGGTTGTGCGGTGCTTTGGAGCAGCAGGCTCGGCCGCGGCGGCCACAGCTGCCGAAGGTCTGCCTACCCGGCCTTCACGTTTGTAAGCCATGCCATTGCGGCATGCGATTATCCGCGGACGTAATGGACATTACTTGTCACATCGGCCCGCCAGACGCCGCAAATGCCACGACAGCGAGGGGAACAAATGCACGCGCCGTGTAGTGCCGATTTCTCTATTGAGATCCGTGTCAGTTTCTCTCGCGCAACCGAAAGTGCCCCGTCCAATGCCACCATGTGGACGACTTTGTTCACTTCGGCCGCGACTCCACTCGCCACTCCTATGTCATTGGAGCTTTACGGCGCACTTAGCTCCTAAGGCTATATGGCGTCGCCTGCCTCTCAACATGGCAGGACGGGTGGGCACTGCAGGGAACAGAGCCCTGTACTTGTGTGGTTTCACCGGAGCCGCCGCTTATCACCACAACTGATGCCCTTCACCCGTCACCCCGGTGCTTGCACTGCCTTCTCGGCTGCGGGGCGTGTCTGACTGGGAAAAGGCGGCTATTAAAGCCCGAAATGTCGCCATTGTCATACGCCGTGCCAACATGCTTGTCGTCGTCCTGGTTCATCTGCCTTTGATCTGACGTGTTCCGAGTTTCATAGCACGCCACCCAGTGTTCAACACGACTTGCCTTGTTCCTGAGCCCAGCATGTCCGGAGCGAATGATATGCCATGGCCAGCTGTGACCACTCGGCAAGCTGCCTGACGGCTCGTGTCCGCTGGGACATTTGTCTGGCAGGCCGCCTTCGCTATCTCAGCTGTCTGGTGAACAACATTTGCTGTTGCTGCTGCTTGGACGTCGGCGCAATCTAAGATCCAATCGGCATCATGTTGCCGCTACCTGAACTACTTTGACCGTTGACGTAGCTTGCAGGCCGTAACCGCCGCTGCTCCCGGCAGGCAACGCCCGTTGACAGACCATGTCCACTCTTGCAGCTGCCCGACGGACCGTGCTCGCTTTTGCAGCTTGCCGACGGACCGTGTCCACTGTTGCAGCTGTTTGACAGACCGTGTCTGCCGTTGCACTGTTTGACAGACAGTGTCCTCCGTTACAGCTGCACGACAGACCGTGCCTCCGTTGCAGCTGTTTGATAGACCGTGACCGCTGTTGTAGCTGCATGGCAAACCGCATCCTCGGCTGCAGCTGCGTGACAGACTGTGTCCGCTGTTGCAGCTGCCGATCCGGGCCGACTCGGACACGGGCCCGCCGGGCCGGCTGTGTCCGCCGTCCTGCCAGCACGCGATGCGCCGTGACGTGTGCGGCTCGGACGGCGTCACGTACGCCTCCCAGTGCCACCTGGGCCTGGCCAGCTGTCGTGACACCGACGTCCAGTTCCGACACTGGGGCCAGTGCGTGGCCAACCCAGGCAAGTGCGGGCCGAGCAAGCGTTGCTTCGCCTCGGGTGGTGTCCCCCATCACGAGATTGGCTGTCGACACACGTGTCTGTCGACCGTGACGCATGCTGCTGCGACTGCTTTGCTCCGCAGTCTCCCACGGCGTATGCCAGTGATCTCACTCTGCGCAAAACCCTTGTGAAGAAAAATGGCACCCCCTGCCCACCAGCGTGCCGCGCTGCCGACTGCGCCATTTGCCGCTCAGAACACGCCACGCTAAGCGCGAACTAGGCGCGGTCCAATCGTGGTAGACTTTGCTGATGCAAGTGACAATATGCTCTTTTGGCCGTTTGTGTGACATTTTACACCTGATTGCACATTTTGCAAAACATTTGTCCTCCCGTCCGTGCGGTACAGACGAAAGAGGGCTTAGGACAACTGATGTTTACTTAAATATAGATACACCTTTGACTTAACCAGTCCGTCCCGGACCGCCGGTCACGGTCTCTGGAACTCCTGGCGGCTGCTGGTCGCACCTTCAACTTGCAGCAATGCAAAAGTCGTGTTGCAAGCATCTGCAATCACCTTTACGGACCAGCCCCTTGTTCGGGCTGATTTGAGGGAACATTGCATTGCAATGTGAAAACATAGTTTTCCCTGTTCGGTTAAGGTGGGAGGCGTAAATTTTGCCAGTGGCAGAAAAGCCTCGCGACGTGGGTCAAAGGCGAGCCGGATCTGTTCCCCCGGCGACGCGTCGGGCCGGGACCACCACCTTTGGACGAAGGAAGGAGCGGACACTAGCATTGTCAAGTGCATGGGTCCATGTGGAACCGGCCACGCATTTTAGTTCTGTTCAAAACCAAACCAGAGCGAGGTTAATCCATTCATACCGTTTCAAGTCCGCTCATAATCTGTAGACCCGTAGACTATTACCCAATCATTTGGAAACCAAAAAAATATAAGGTGGACACACACAAGGTTCCAAAATAGCACAGCTCAAGGTTCAAGACCAATCAGAGCGAGCTCTTGGTTCAGCTTAAAACGTGTGAATCCATAGATCCTGACCTAAGCATTCTAAAACATTAAAAAGTAAGGTGGACAAGTGTGACCGATAATGTCTCGAATTTTTTTGTATGTCCGCCCTGGCTTTTTGAGTTTTCGAATGGTTAGGTCAAGGTCTATAAGTCTACAAACTTTCAGCTCAATTACGAGGGTCCGCATTTATTGGCCATGAAACTTTGACCAATGAAGTCTTGAAAATTTGTGTCTGTCCACCGTAGTCTTTGGAGTTTTCAAATGTATAGTGCTAGGTATATGAGCCTACGAATTTCCGGCTCAAGCAAAATGGTCCTTTTTGGTCGATCTTAAACGTTGACCCAGACATTTCGAAACTTGTTTAGCCACCTTAGCTTCCGGGGTTTGCAACTACATGGATTGTTCCATGTGCCTATGACTTTACAACTTCTTTAGCATAATCAAAAGGGCCAACTTTGATCGGCTCTGAACTGAAAACGTAAACCATTCCGAATTTCTTCTTGATTCTGATTAAAGTGGGCTAACCCGGTGATACTCATGACAGTTACTCATGACAATTTCATAAGATGACGAAAACTGGGACCAAAACGCAGTAAATCTGATAAAACATCATAAAGGGCAAATATTCCAAGGCATTGTTAAAACCCATTTGTGAAAGCTCCGAAGGCGTTCAGTTACATCCGTTTGGGTTTTCGTATCTGCTATCACCTCGTTCTTCCCACCCCGCCCAGGGCGTACGATCGGCTGTAGTGATGTGAACTTTCGCTCTGCTAGAGTGTGGCATTCATCAGTTTCGTGTTGTGTCGGCAGCGGGCAGCGTTTGTCTGCAGAAGAGAGCGGAGGCGCTAAAGGGCCAGCCCAGCGGGCCCCTGCCCCAGAACATTTATGTGCCGCAGTGCACGGAAGACGGCCTGTACGCGGAGATCCAGTGTCACCCCGGCTCAGGTGAGTGTTTGGCCCTCGCGCTGCTCAGTGTCACCACGCATCGAACATCAGCGAAGGAGCGCCGCACCATCGACGCGCGCGCGCTGCGCCCCAAAAGTACATGATTCCACCGCTCTCTTAGTGAATCCATCTTTACAGCTTCATCGCCAGTCTTCACCCTGTCCCTTGCCTCGCGCCGTCTTTCATCTCATAGTTCTGTGGTAGCCTTTGCCAGCCCGAGTAGTTTACCGACATCGCAACAGAAAGCTCTGGAAGGTCTGGCCTCAGGCACATGGTTGTGTCCTTGCTGAGCCAGGGCGAGAGCATGTGTTTGTTATTTGTAATGTTCGCCATAGAGCTAATCCCAGTGATCGCTGTCGGACGAATGGGTACTCGCTGCTGTACCCATTATTCTCTTTCTTTATTCCTGCTGAATGCCTGAAGACTTCCGTGTCTTGACGGAATGTAGATCCGTTCGTTCTGAATAATAGACCTTTGTGTACACGCGGAACGTACTGACTCCTCATTTAAGTTTTATTGGCAGGGGTGTAGGTTCCTTTTCACGGTGGGGGAGGGCTCCATCACAGCTCTGAGAAAAAGCGGGTAGAATCGGTGGAGAAACGTGTTTTTTTTTGTGCATTCATTTGTGGTATGTTCAGACATTCGTTCCGGCCCAGCCCTCAAACGTATTTTACGGAAAGACATCACTGATCATCAAATATCTCTGGGAGACATTTTTGCAGATTTTTTTTGTAAATCAAATAATACTTGGCGCCCCAGAGCACCGAACGCACAGGCCTGCCGTACGGCGACACGTTTCCACAGAGCCAGGGCAGTGACGACCGTAGATTAGGTCGGGTATGAAGATAACTACACAGGCACACTATCCTAAAGCACAATTGGTTGACGTACGACTCTGAACCCTGCTCACAGTGCGGAAGGTGGATATGCTCAATTAACTCATCAATAATTTAGGCACAAAATGATGTGACCCGGGACAGGTTCCGGGATGTTGTGGGCGGTCCAAACAAACAAATGTCGGCAACCAGCCGGAACGTATGCTTTCATATGTCAAGCTAGAGGATCCAAAGTTACACCGTTTGCATTCAAGAAGGTGCTCTAGGACTTTCTTATGCGTAATTTAGCCAACACGCTTCGTTTGGGCTAATTGTCGATGAACGCATAACTCACAACACAAATGTGTGTGAGCGCATGCAGACGCACGAAGGCGGTTGCCAAAAAAGCCATCTCCGGTGAGGACTCACCAACTTCCCAGTCAGGACGATCGCTTGCCAAGGTTCTCGATGGGCATGTCGTAATCGGCACGGTCGGCCAATTATGCAGACCAGCGACGCTAGATGTTTCCAAACCTTGCTGAGTTTTGGAATGCGCCCGGTCATTGCATATCCTCGTAAGTAGATGGCATGGCTGTTCTCCGCGCTTGAATAAATAAAGTTTGAAGGACTATATATCACGGTCGCCACCGGGAGCGGCCTCGCTTCTTCACAGGCTGTCAGAGAGCCATGAGTCCCAAGCACACCCCCATAGGTTATCATGTTACGTGCGTGTCGCCTAGATCAGGAACTGGCCGGCGACCCAGCCCATATCTCCAACGAACATTCCGTCCCCTGCGCCACTTTGCAGTTGGCCTCAAACAAGTGAGGAAGCTGTCCGGCACCGAATGATAAACAAACTTCATAGGACTGCAGATACCAGTGGCACCCGAGCTGGGAGCGCAGCGCGTCACGAACGCTCACCGCCAAAGAGCTCTTACCGCAACAATGTGGCCGCGGCAAACAATGCTGACAAAAAGTGAGCTGCAACTCGCGATTGGATGGCGGTTTTATCGGAAGGCGCTGCTATGGCACCCCAACTACCGTTATGTGTTACGTTACATTTCCTCGCTGCTTTGATCAGATTCTTGCGGCCGAACAAACAGCCGCGTGACGCCGTAAGATCTCGGAAGTAACGGAGGCAGGGAGGATGGCTGAAGCGTTGTTGGCTGTCGCGGGCCGGCGGCTGCGGCCGGCTCTTGTGCTGTAGCCTCGCTCATCGCCTCAGGCCGCGTGCGTCGCTGCCGCGCTGGCACCGCCCCCGGCCGGCCGACGCAGCGGCGCCGCACACAGCCCGCCGGGGACCGCTGTTGCGTCAGATGCGACGACGCCGCCCCTCTCTGACCTCATCGCGACGGAGCCGGCGCGCCGGCGCCACGCACCGGGCTGCGTGCGGTGACGTCAGAGGGCGGCGACAGGCGCTGGGCTCTGGCTTTTGCCGTGGCGGGAGTGGCAGGCACGTGGCTCTGGAATGCAGTGCCGTTTGCGGCGTGAACGCAGTACACGGGATTACTGAGACAAAGTAGCCAGTGTGACTGTTCCCACTCTAATGCCGGAGTATGAACATTCCCGGACGGTATCTGCCCGCTCTGGCTTCCACACTGGCCTCTCCACGGGTGCCGTCACGCACTGTGCCGGGGCTGTCCGGCTCCACCGCCTAGGCGGCAGGACAGCGGTCCGGCAGCTCCGCTGTATATGCCAGCGCATCATCGGCTGGATACGCACCGTGCACCGAGGCTCTGTGCCGACGCCGCTGAGCCGTCGGCTGTCGTCTCGGCGGCGCCGCTGTACACACACACGCGCGGTCGGCCGGCGACCCGCCGACAGACGGATCTCGGTCGACCGTGTCAAGACCAGAGGCGCAGCGGCCGCCCCGCCGCCGACGGGGCGGGGGCAGTGGAGGGGGCGGGGGGGGGGGGGAATATTGGGGGCGCTTGCCGCCGGTGAGATCAGAGTAAGTCGCACCAACTATCGAATCTAATGCCGTGGTTATTTATAAATCGTTCAAGCCACTGTTCTGAGCTTTGGTGGCTAGGCTCTGTCCATTGGTCTTGCACTGCCAAGGTCAAGGTGCGCGCAGCTCGCTTGTTTTATGGTGCGATAGGGTTTAAGTTCCCGATACGTTTGGCATGCCAGATGATGCTTTAGGTTTATAATCTATTGACCTTGAGGGCGTATACTTGCAGCACTCTTGGTCCCTGTGTTTACTCCAAGCATTTAAGGTCAATCCCTGTCTCGTGAATCAGCGTTTAACACGTAACACTCTTTAACATTCTCATTTTTATCTTAACCCTTCCGTCTGTCCACCTGTGTCCATCAGTCCCTCTGTCTGTCCGCCTGTGTTGGTCGGTCCGCCTGTGTGTCCGCCTGTCGGTCTGCCTGTCTGTCCGCTTGTCCGTCCGTCTTTTTCCGTCGGTCCGCCTGTCGGTCCGCATGTCTGTCCGCCTGTGTCTGTCCGCCCACCTGTTTGTCTGCCCGCGTTCGTCGGTCCGCCTGCCCGTCTACGTGTGTCCATCGGTCCGCCTGTCTGTCCGCCTGTGCCTTTCGGGACCAATATCGATTGGGGTACGTTTGACTCCAGCCCGGCCCGTTCTGTGTGATCAGTCCCGTGTGCAGTCAAGTGAACGGGCTCCGTCTGCAGGCCACTGTTGGTGCGTTGACGACCACGGCATCGCGGTGTTCGGCACCGCTGTCCTCAACGCGCGGCCCGAGTGTTCGGCGAGGAAGGTGCGCACCTCGACCGACGGTAAGCAATTTCTACTGTCGCTGGCTCGCCACACACTGGGGCGCTGCCACACACCGTGGCGCTGCCACGCATCAGGCCGCTGCCACACATCGGACCGTTGCCACACATCAGACTGCTGCCACATACCGGGCCACTGCCACACACCGGGCCACTGCCACACGCCGGGCCACTGCCACACACTGGGCCGCTGTGCCACATCAGGGCACTGACACACATCAGGTCGCTGCCACACACGGGGATGCTCCCACACACCGGGCTGCTGTGACACATGCGGCTGCTGCCACACACCGGGTCCCTGTCACACACCGGGCCGCTGCCACACATCAGGTCGCTGGCACACACCGGGCTGCCGCCACACATCGGGCTGCTGCCACACCGGGTCGCTGTCACATACCGGGCTGCTGCCACACATCGGGCTGCTGCCACATATCGTGCTGGTGCCACAGGTTGGACTGCCGCCGCACGCTGCCACACGCTGGACTGCTGCCACACATTCTTGCTGCATACTGGGTCGCTCCAACACTACACGCCACAACCCGATACCTGACCCTGACAAATACAAGGCCACTCGCACACAGAGACACTTCCACACACCGCACCTCTGTCACACACTGGGCCGCCACCACACGTAAGGGCGTTGCCACACATTGGACTGCTGCCACACACTGGGTCGCTCGTACACTGGGCCGCTGCCCAATACACGACTGCCTCCAAACACTAGGTCACTGTCACATACTATGCTGCCGCGAGATACTGCACCACTGCCGCACTATGGGCTGCTGTCACACACCGGGCCTCTCACGCGGGACTGCAGCCACAACTGGGACCGCTGCCACAACTGGGCTATTGCCAGACACCGGGCCGCTGCCACACACCGGGTCGCTGCCACACACCGGGCCTTTCTGACGCGGGACTGCAGCCACAACTGGGACTGCTGCCACACACTGGGCTGGCTTCATACGTGGATGCGTGCTGTTTCACGTTCATGCTTCAAGACTGCGGTGAGAACTGCCATAAACAGCTCGTTTCTTCTTGAGTCACCGACATGTGTGGCATGGCATGTTCAGAATCCACTTCAATTTGCATTCCTGCAAACGACATCATTATCCATCAATGCATTTTGTTTCCATAGGAGGTCAACTTATCTGGTAAACCGGATCGTTCTTTGCGGTTCTGTGGACGAGCCGTAAGTTATTTTGTGACGACACGCGCCAGGGCTATGGGGCATCTGCATGCCTGTTAGTGTATCTCTAATGCATCGCAGTGGTCAGTGCAGACAGCTACAGCCTGTTCTCCGCGGTGGCCTTTCATATAGCTCGTTCCATCTCACACCATAGAACAAGATGAATTACAAATACACGGTCGTCTATAGGAGCCTTTTTGCAAATTCTGCAACAGCCCTGCTTTCCGTTTCAGCAAAAAGTTCCTCAAGGAGAAGAGGCAGGGGCAAACGGAGGCGAAGTAAGTAGCCGCTGGTTTTGTGAGTTGTTGCCGGTATTGCCCATGATGATCTGGTGGCTAGCAGACCTGCGTGGCATCGCCCCTCCCTGCTTTTGAGATTCGCCGTCATTTGTCGATTCTTAACACCCTCATGAAATAGCTGTAAACCTGCTAAAAGATATACCGCACGGTTGAGCAATCCAAAGCCAGCTGCCATATTTGAAATGCAAACTGATCAGTCACGTTGTTCTTCGTGCACCTTACGATGTTCTGCATGCTCATTTACTTCTTTTCTTCATTGCGTAAGCAAAGTTATGTGTACATCAGGGCCTGATATCGGCCACCTGACACCTAGCGCTGGATGTGCACCTGCGTTTTACAGGCTGCGGCAGCCGAGCAAAGACGATATTCAGGGACAATGCGATGCGCATGATAAAGCAGGAGTATGAGAGGCGCCAGCGGCGTAGAGCAGGTGGGTACAAATGACGTGAGCTGCACAGGACTAGTGACAGGACAGGCATGTATGACGATAGGTCTGTGCAAGGGCTCCTGGCGTACGGGACAGGACAGGTCCGCACGTCAGGTGACGGCTACACAGACGCAGGAAACGTGCACATTAGGGGTGAAATAGTGCAGAACAGAACTGCACAGAGAACAACACGAGAGGCGTAATTTGCACGAAATGGGCGGATGCCGCGCGTCGAAACCAACGGCACGAGTCTAACGAAACAAACGGGGGGGTCCTTGGTTGTGCGATATGTTTTGGTGTCAGCTCTTGGCTGCACACGACTCATGCCTAACATGACCCAAACCCAGATGCACCCTGACATTCAGCTGAAGGAGAGTGATTTGTTCCGATCAAATGCGTCGTTAGGTGTGTTTAGATGATGGTGTAGTCTGGATGCACGCACGTCCAAGATGTTACCTGAATTATGGCAACGTGGTGTTACTTTCATTCGGATTTTTAGGAAAAACCAAACACAACTGTTAGCATGTTATTCGCATGTGTTATATAAATCCACCAACTAATTATCATGTTGTTTGATCGTTTGATGTTTGAGGAGCATTAGTTGCGCTTAAAACATTTGCCTGCCGCGAGTGAATGATATCAAGCTGCCAGTTCAGTGGCACCTGTTGAATTTGGTCTGTGGTAAGACCAGGCCCATTCCTGATTGAGGTTCAGTAATATAGGTTCCGTCTTCCGTAAAATACGTTTTCTCGGAACGGCGATGCTGCCGCTGTCGCCTATTGGGTTTCATTCCTACAGCATCTTCTAATTTTTTTGAAATATCCATGAAGCTTATCACCAACTCACTGAGTGTTATTTAAGCGTGTCAGAAAAACACCCGCGTTACGTGTAGAGTGACTTTGTATTACAATATAAACTTTGTACAAATATTGTAACCAGAGGATTGGATATCGTGACACATGTGATTAGCTTTGTACACACATTGTCGCCATAGAACCGGATATCGCAGCAATATCAACTGGTTATTTATCGTAATATCACAGCAAATGCCTTTGATCTGAATATCTTGTACTTCGATGGGCGCCCGGTGCTGGCCCTCAGAGACCACGCTGAGTCTCAGCATTTGTAGAATGCCTTACCTAATTATTGTGTTTTCCTCCATGGCGATGACCACACTGCCCAAAAAATATACGTCACTTTTATCATCAGACGCATCAAATTAGGTGTGAAATGACGTTTTTATCTTACCGGATTCTTCCCAATCTGGACATGTCACGTACAAAGCAGCCTTTCATGGCCGACACGTACACAAGCCGTATAGAAGCTTGCTCCCGTACCTAAGATAAAAATCCTACCAACGCACTTAAAGGGTCAGTGCGGGGTGTACGCGTATTGTCAGAGAGCAGGCCAGCTAGGAACGGGCCTTTTAAATGGACGAGTAAATCAGTGAAAGCCAGTAGGCACTGTGTCGAACGAAGCCATTCTCAGCTACGCGACCGGTGCTGAGGACAGATCGGTTAGCCGTCGCATTCGCCTGCCGCAGACCGGCGGCCGGCCGCGACCGACAATCTGGAGACGCAGGCGGCTGAATGGCGGTTCTCCCAACTGGATGGCGACAAAGACGGCGAGATATCGCGCAAGGAGATCCGCCGGCTCAGAAGGTGGGTGACGACACGGTGCCCGCCTCACCGCCGATCACGTCCGCTGTTTGTCTGGTGTCCGCCGATCGTCCGGCTGCGGCGCCCGATGACTTCCCGGTGTCCGTGCCCGCTGACCGTCTCCGGCGCCCGATGACTTCCCGGTGTCCGTGCCCGCTGACCGTCTCCGGCGCCCACCGACTTCCCGGTGTCCGTGCCCGCTGACCGTCTCCGGCGCCCGCCGACTTCCCTGTGTCCGTGCCCGCTGACCGTCTCCGGCGCCCGATGACTTCCCGGTGTCCGTGCCCGCTGACCGTCTCCGGCGCCCGCCGACTTCCCGGTGTCCGTGCCCGCTGACCGTCCGGTTGCCGCGTCCGATGGCTTTCTGGTGTCCATATCCGCTGACCGTCTCCGGCGCGCGACACGCTTCTACCATTTCTAACGTTGCAGGAAGGCAAGGCGGCAGCTGAAGCCGACGGCGTGTGCACGCCGCTTCTACCGCTACTGCGACACAGACGGCAGCCGCAGTCTCAACCGGCAGGAGTGGCTGCTCTGTCTCGGCGTCAACCGAGACGATAGTAAGTTACCCAACTCGCCGCCGTCGCCGCCCTCTGAGGCTGTCGTGTGCCCCTCCCCTCGAGCCGGCGCCGTCGTGGTCGTCGCCTCTCGGCGCGAACGCGACACTTAACTGGGAATGGGTATGCTGACCGTCTAATCGGGTTGCGGCCTTGGAGCCGTATGGTCGCGATTTCTCCACGAAAGAAAGGCTACCCTGGACGCCCTCAGCCTGGCCATGTTCTTTCATGCCGTGAGCTATGTAAGACTACCGACTGAATGCCCGGAATCAGTTACGGATGAACTGTGATCTTCTTGTCGATTCTGGGTAGTAACATTTTGAGCTTGCTGAAGTTCGTGGCACTGCATTTAGATCGCCTCACGTAGCCGTAAATCTTGCAAACCGGCTGCAGGGATTAATCGTGGCACCCACATGGTGTTCCATTGTATATCGACGCTATCAAAAGCTCACTTTGGAATCGGCTTGACAAACTAGCGTTTTGACAATCACCTTGCTGGCTAATTGTGATCGCCACTGCTGATTACAAGGAAGGATGTAATTGAAGTTCTCATTTGTCTGTAGTAGGTGGATATTTTGGCTGCCTGATAGCATCAATAATAAACACGACCAACACCGCTTGGGCGGCGAGGCACGAGCGAGATGATAACAGACACGAGAGTCATCAATCGTCACCATGTAGATTATACTGAACCCCGAGCTAATGAAGGCAGGCGCCTTCGGTAGCCCATGCAAATGAGCTGAACCAGTACGTTGGCCGAAAGGCCGCCTTTCATGGTAGTTAAGAAGGCCGACCGCCGCTGATCAGCATGCACTAATTCACCAACCATGTTGCTTCACAGGATAGCTTTGGACCTGCTCCTGCCTGAAAATGTCAGGCGGAAGTGGATGAGTTTTTAGGCATTTGTGTTTTACTTTTGCTTATCAGCGTTTAAAAGTTTACGAGCATGGTCTTGGTGATGAGTACTAGCGTGCTGATTTGCTCACCTCACCGCTTGTTAATTGGATGGCCAGGGGGCTGGCCTGGCCTGACAGTATCACTCGACGATATGCATTCACCTGTACGAGTTCACATTCACCTGTATGAGTTCACGTCCTTGGCGACTGTGACAAAGGCATTGCCAACAATGAAATAATGCTCGGCCGATGCCCGTGAACTCCTGTACGCACCTCTGTAGTTGCTGCGGCCGAACGTCTTGGTTTATGCCACAGCGTGATGTACTCGGAGCCGGCTTCGAAAACTAAACAGCGTTCTCCATGGTAGAACCCTGGCATTGCGATGTTTGTGGTACTGGTAATCGATGTAGGCAATTTGCTCTCTGGCCTACGACGGTCAATAGACAGACCCTGTTGTCATTTAGGTACCTGATTCAGAGTCAGCCTCAACTGGACGTCAAAGGCAGCTGCGCTTGGATGACATAGCGTATTGGAGAACGACGAATGGTTTTACTTTTTCCTCGTCTCAGACGACAGGCACGCAGTGCCGCAATAGAACAGACGTCGAGCCTGTACCGATCTCGAAACTACGAAGCCATTGAGGTCAGCCTATACAATAGCGTTTTACCAATGGCGAACAATTTCAAATATTTGGGCGTCATCCTTGATTGCCGTTTCTGTTCACGTTAACCACATGAAAAGCTTTGTGTTATGGGTTTAAAAACCATATACAAACCTTAACTCGTTTTACGCACGAAATATGAAGCACATCGGAAGATGATGGGGCGGGCTAGAGCCTCTTTACTGGATACCCATGCGACCGAAGATGGATTTTGCGTAAGCTGAGCGGGACACTGCCCGCCACGCAGCCAAAAACAGGCTTGACAGTGTTTGATGTAACGGTATTCGAATGGCGACAGGTGCTTTTCGCACGTCTTTTGCTCCAATCCCTCATGTTAGCGCGAACGGGCTACCATTGAGGCTAAGACGACAGCCAATACCCACGCGGCATGCAATAAGAATCCGTCAGTTCGGCTTGTGCCCGGCTTTTTGCACGTCTTGTACAGAGCTCTGATCCGGGCCTTGGCACAGGATGTGTGGATGAAAACTTGAGCACTATGCATCCGAGTGGACGAGTGGTTAGAGATGCCGGAACTGATACCAGGAAAATGCAGGTCCAGACGCATACGGTCACGGAGCCTTCGTTGCTGTTCGGCCACCGAGCCCCCAGTCTTGTTCGCCTACCAAACCTCAGTGGTTGCATGGCCATCGAGCCTCCGTTGTCGTTCGGCCATCGAACCTTTGTTGCTGTTCGGCCACCGAGCCTCCATTGTTGTTCGGCCACCGAACCTCTGTGGTTGTTTGGCCATTGAGCCTCCGTTGTTGTTCGGCCATCGAACCTCCGTTGTTGTTCGGCCACCGAACCTCCGTGGTTGTTTGGCCATTGAGCCTCCGTTGTTGTTCGGCCATCGAACCTCCGTTGTTGTTCGGCCACCGAACCTCCGTGGTTGTTTGGCCATCGAGCCTACGTTGTCGTTCGGCCATCGAGCCTCCGTTGTTGTTCGGCCACCGAACCTCCGTTGTTGTTCGGCCACCGAACCTCCGTGGCTGTTTGGCCATCGAGCCTCCGTTGTTGTTTGGCCATCGAGCCTCCGTTGTTGTTTGGCCACCGAGCCTTCGTTGTTGTTGTGCCACCAAACCTCCGCTGTTATTTGGCCACCGAGTCTCCGTGGTTGCTTGGCCATCGAGCCTCCGTTGTCGTTCAGTCATCGAGCCTTTGTTGCCGTTCGGTTACCAAGCCTTCGTTGTTGTTCGGCCCGTCGTGCCACATTCCAATGACCCGGCACTCGAAGCCCGAAAGATAGTGCTTTTTCTTTTGAGACATGACAACATGCTGAAGAATTTACATTGAGCAGGTGCACAGTCCGCCCACTTCTTACTGACGGATCAAAAACGTCTCAGAGCATTGCGTATACATATCACTCCGAGACTCTGGGCAACCTGCGATGTTCCGTAATGTATATGTTTTTACCGTCGAAATGTATGCCGTTTGAGGCTCTCGTGGTTATGCCTCACATATAGGCCGGCCATGCTGCACACAATTTGTTGAATGCTCACTTCTGTTTTATCTCTCCAGAATTCCCCTGTTTCCAAGACCCATTTGACCCCGTTAATTCTGAGACGTGTCAGACATCTGCAAGCAAACGAGAAACAGGTCTTTCTGGTGGGAATAATCAGTCCCGTTGGCCTAACTGTTGATGGATCCACTGATCAGAGCACTGGTTCCACCAAATAAAGCAAGTCAGGCTCGTGCCAGTGATCTTTGCACTGTGGCAAGGTGGCACCAGGAACGCAGTAGAAGCGAGTTTAAAGCCGTCATGCCTAAGATAGAAAACGGACGTCTGTTTTCGGGAATTCTAGGAAATGGGAAATTTCTTAATTGCTAATTAGATTTCCACAGAGCGGCACAACGAATGCTGGTTGTAAAGTGAGCGCCTCCTGAGCGTATCTTGTTTAGGTCGGGAAGGTGAAGGTGGTTTGGATTTCCCGCGATGTCGATGTCGCTCGTAGGTACGCCTTGTAAGCTTGAGCCTCCTGTCATCACACAGGTTCTCGATATGGCCGCGCTGAACGTGTTTATGATCCCGCGACGGGCAACAGCAGTGATGAGCAGCAAAGGTAATGACTGAAAACACCTGTGCACCTTTGCCGGTGCAGCCTCCCGGCGCCCGGGTAAGTCACGGTCCACAGACGGACCGTGACTGCCGCTGTGCGCTGACGTCGACAGCACACTGAAGCAGCCCGCAAAGGCCGCGCCGGCCGACGCGCTGAACACAAAGTATTATGGCAAAAGGTGACAATGGCCGCCGCCTGGTGGACTGCCAGTGCTGCGATGCGTCGGACAATGACAGGATTACACAATGTTTCGCGATGCATGGGCCCGCACGGCGCAGGCACCTTCCTGTCGGTAGATGGTCCGGTCGTGGACATCTGACATCCATGTTCAAAATGCCGAACAACGGGCTGGTCCACTGTCTACGCTCGAGCGCACGCATCCCGTTGGTGCACAGCGACCCGCTCTTTTGGAAAAAGAACTGCTCACTCACCGAGAGGGGTCGATATCGGACCGTCGAGGTATCAGTCCGCTTTTGGTCGCTGTTGTAACGCACTGAGGGAAGGCTTTTGTGTGCGGTGGCACGATCGACGGGTAGGCAATGCAAATCTGTGAAAAATGTGATCGCCAGGGTAAATGTCAGGGTCGGATTTGGCGGCGAAATCAAAAGGTTTATGAGCAGCTGACATTGATGCAAACTGGGCCCCCGCCTACGCTCGTAACGAACGCACGATCAGTTTTGTTGGGACTGGGAATTTTGCTTGATGAAGACCATGTCCCGATGCATGGGCAGCTTCTGCGGACAGCTGCTGCTCAGTAAGATTTATCAATGATTGACGTCAAGACAGGTTGGGACCACGTCTTCACTTGCAAAGAGCGCACTAACTTGTAATAGGAAATGGAACGTTTAGAAGTATGTAGGTACAGAAATTGTCTTTGTCTGGCTGTGGTTGTCTGGCGTCCCAGCTGAGCCTGTGATTCTCGCATGGAACAAACCTGGTATACGTGGTTTAAACAGCACTTTTTGTACAGCTGGCAGTGATAAAGCTGCTGAGTTTAGTTTGCACGCCTGAGGTCTGGAGGTATTTGCTTAAGCCCAACATATCGTAGATACCTTGCAGGAGCAACACAGCTCCCCCCCCCCCCCATAAAAAACACGCTATCAGGCTTTCAGTTTCGATGCACTTGTGCTGGCGAACAGCGTGATGCACACGGCAGAGTTTGCACATCAGTTTCTGAGTGTCCATTAAGGATCAGTATCACGGAACAGGTCACTATGTCCTCCTGCAGCGCTGCTTGAACAGCTCACCATTCGGTGGGCACACACGCCCAAAGTACAGCCTTACGGTCCACTTCCCGCCGTGAGCACTCCTGGCGGCAAACGGTCGATTGCTAGGCGACCGGGACCACACGTGACGCGATAGCAGTATGGACAAGTGCAGCTTGAGACAGGAAATAAGGCCCAGCAACATATTCACTGTACTGCTACTTACATCATGTGAGTGCGAAGATCAAGTGCCGCTGTAACTCGCAGCGAATCGTGTCGGGTAAGGCCATCTTATGGTACAGGTTTGCTCGCGCTTCACCGCACACAGATCTGGATCAGTCTGTTGCATAACCCTTTCATTTCTATGCTGATTCAGAAATTTTCAGGTGTTAGGGGTCTTCCGCAATCGGTTCTTGGTTATTTGCGGCCAAACAACAAAGTTTCCCAGTATGCTTAAGATTGTGTTGCATCTACGATAATATACCAAATAGGGGCATTTCATGTCTCTTTATCAGTCAATCCTGTACCTCCAGCTGCAGGGAACGGCACCGGTTTGGACCAAGGGGAGCACGACAGCCTCAGATATCCACCTTGTGCCATTCCCTTGCACCAGAGTGATAACGCACGCATACAAATCGATGGTTTGGTGTGAGCATAATGTGCTTGTATTCTTGACTCTCCCGTTAATTATCGGTATTCGAAATACACTAATCATAGCCGAAGCCTCTTTGTCTGGTTCCTGAGCCACTTCCTTGCCCGCCGCCGGCTGATATCTAAGGTGTTGCTTGCCGTGCGTGCATGCATTCCTCGCTCCGATTCCACTGCGGGGCTGCGCCGTCGTTGTGGCATGACGTTCTCCTGGCGCTAAGTCGCACCCACGATGCACAACTGCACGCTGCCCGACTGCACTGCACCCGTCGCGTGTCGCCCCTCACGTGCTCCTGTGAATAAGGCTGCCCACTTGCTGGTAATAACTGCACGCAGCACCCAACTGCATCCTGCTACGGCCAGGCCCGGAAGCGAGCGTAAGTGATGGCGGGTAGAGGGCGCCACCTGTCAATCCGCCTGTCCCTCCTAGTTCCTCCGCCGGCCGCCAGGGTGTTTGCCGCCACATTGATGCAGTCTCTTTCCGTGTGTTTCTCGCGCTGAACGAGGAACAGGAGGGGACGGCGGAGAGCGGCAGCGCCGGCCGGTCGCCAGAGACAGGTCAGTGCTGGCTGACAGAGCAGGCACTGGCCAATGACCGCCTCGCGTTCAAATGAGCCTGTGCACAGCCAGGTAGGTAACGTCAGGTTCGGTGGGGCTCCCTCAGCTTCACTCACCTCTTTTGCCGATCCTACGTTGTGTCTCGTTGGCTTAAGCCCGTGCTTTACGTCGAAGGAAAAAATACCTTCTACCAGAAGGACCAGAATCGAGAATTGCACCATGCCCTGTCTTTTGACACTTAATGTATGACTGATTTGCGCATTTTTCCATCCATCTGGTGATATACATTTACCCCTGATTATGATCTAGCCTAGAGTACGCAGTGCAAGTAGTTCAATATACTGCTTTGCCTTGCGGGTCATTCAGCAGCTGCTAGGACCTGCGCGTGTTTCTCTCAGGCTGTGAGACCTCAGACGTGGTGATTAACCGGCTGTGACGCGGCTTAACCTCGCCCAGCGGGCCTCGGCGTCTGCGGCCGCTTCTGGCGTTCGGCTTGCTTGGCGCTAGCATGCGCGCTGGGATCCCATGGCTTCTGCGTCCTGTTAACTGTCCGACCAGTAACAGGACCTTGACGAGTCTGCCGTCCTCGTTTCTGAATGCCCGCATTGTTGCACTCAATTTACGTGCGATGCTGCAATGGCTGCCGTGATTATGCACATTGCACATCGCGCCTCGCCGGGCCTCTTGGCCCACCGGACACGACCCGACCTGGCCTGACCTTGCTTGTGTGTGTGTGTGCTGCCTAGACGCTCAGCCGGAGCCGGCATCTGCCCGGAGTAGAATGTTCGACATGCTTCTGGTCGAAGAGAGCATCACTGAAAAGTCCGCTGAGGGTGAGATTTCACTGCCATCTATCGGCAGCTAGCACTACTATTGCTTGCGAGAACGCCGCCATATGACGCATTCGGGCTGCCCCATGACGGCCGCAGTCATTGTGTGTCTAATGCTACTCCTCCGCGCCTTCGTAGTCCCTTTCGGTGCCAGTTCGATGCCATTGCGCTACTCTTTGCTTGATAACTCATAAAGGCGCCAATGATAAAGCTTATGCCAGGCTTCTAAACAGCAGAGCGCTTGCTTTCAGTCATCACGATTTGGCCCAGCCGGAGACGAGACCAACCGCTCGGCTCGTCAGCCGATGCCGGACGTCGTGTGTCACGTCACGATCTCCCATTCCCGCTCCTCAGAGCAGGAGAACAACTGCGAGGCCGACCGGCGCCTGGCCCTCGACAACCAGCGGCTGGCGGAGCTGGAGGGCACGCGCGGAAACAGCTTCTTCATCCCGTCTTGCACCCCTGACCACAAGTACAACCGTGTACAGTGCCATAATGCCACCGGTGAGTAGGAGACTGACGCGTGAGAGCCAGACTGATGTCAAATGTATGGTCGCGCCTCCTCCGTGACCTTTACGTTAATGCCTCAGACGATAAAGAGATGTTTGTGGTTTGCATGTCAGATGACCCCCGTATTCCAAACGTTCAAAAACCACCTTTGTTAGCAAGTATTGCGGGTGCGTGGTACATCGCTTAATTGTACGTGGAGGTAAGCAGCAGTCATTATCTGGTCTAGCCGCGGCCGCTGCCGAAGTCTGAATGTAAAATCCCGTTTACATTTTGCCAAACTTTTCTGTGCGCTTTCAAAATAAAGAAGTCGTTCTATACTATCATGATCCACACATATGCCAGCAAAGAGTGGCTTTTGTGTTTATACTTGGAGGCACCATGAGAAGCATACAAGACGTATTGCATCTATGCTTTTATGAGACGATTTTACCTACACACGAGTGCGTCCACAGACGTCCATGCCCGGCGCGTGGTACTGGTCGGGATGCCATGTGCCAACTGTCGGGTGCTGTTCCTTTAACGTGCCCAGGTACTGCCGCTATGTCCAGCCACGACCTGACTCGTGTCGTCTTCACCTGTTAGCTGCTGCTGGTGTAGCGTGCGCCTCCGATAAGTCAGTATGCGACCTGTGCCGCCAGGGTACTGCTGGTGCGCTGACCCTGACACGGGACACTCGGTGCAGCGCACGGTCAAGGGCAGCGTGCCCGACTGCTCCCAGGTGCGGCCCAATGCCAAGGGCCGCCGACGGAACCAGCAGGGCCGGGGCAGACTGCCCAGAGGTGGGTCACGCAACTCCCACCAAGCCCCCGCTCCCCCTCCCGACCTCGGTCCTCCGCGTGAATTGCTTATACACGGCGTTTTACCTCATAAACGAAAAACCGGGGGAAAAGGGCAGGGGGCAGGCACAATAACCATGGACCCCACTTTTTATAGTCACTGGAACGTTAACCCAGAAACTGACCTTTGTGAGCCACCTCTCTCTTGAAACGAATAGACACCTTTGTCCCCGCAAACGTAGGACGCCGTAAGCGTTACACGCCCGATGGCCAGTTTTCTTTCTGGTTAACCGTAACATTTTTTTTTTTTGGTCAACATAGGCGTCTCCACCACCAACCACCCCCACCGATTCCATTGTTGTGCATTCCATTCCACTTCTACGAAAAAGCATTCACGAGCGCGCTGGGGACGCCAGATAGTTAGTCCTCACTCCCATGTCCCACACTACAGCCGCCCAGCCTCACAGCCGCCCTGCTTCCCACGTGCGCGCAGGCCGGTCGGTCGCGGCCCGCAGCGGACCGCGTGACGGATGGAGCATGACGCACACCGTCGCGCGTCTTTTGGTAGAGGGTCAGCGACTGTAGAGCCATATGAGCGTTCAGGGGCCACGGCGCCGCCGGGATGGCCGACCGACTGACGCGACGGTGGCCGCTGTTGCAGCGTGCCGCGGTGCCGACAGGCTGCAGATCTTCCTGCGCCAGCTAATGGACTACCTGACCAGCCGGCTGGTGAACGCGCTGCAGCAGCGCCAGTACACGTACGTCTGCCGCCCGCACGTGCCGGCCGGGTCCGGCGGCGCGCACAACTCTTGTGGGACGCCGCAGGGTGTCAAGTAGTAGGCTCCCCCGTTATGTGGCCTCCTGACGCACTCGACGAGAGTTTGAAATATAGAAATGGGTTGGGCACGTGAGAGAGACGGGTTTTACAGCTCATTCGGTTGCTGTCATACGCTGTTGTTGTAAACGCCACTAAAATCTCTATTTTAAGCACCTTTGCGTGAAGTTCGGTTTTGCGAATCCGTCCCTGAAGTGCTACGGTCCGTGAGGGCCACTTGTGACGGGCTGTCCCTTCCATCCCAACCAAAAAACTAGACACAGGTGGTAGTGCGCCAAAAATATTTAGCTTGTGGAGCTGTGACACTGTTATTCCATTGCAGATTGCCTCCTGATATCGATGGAGAAGAAAAGTCATTCGAAGAGAAAATTGCCGAGTGGAAGTTCAGCGCGACTGATAGCAACAAAAACAATGTGAGTGCTGATGAGATGAAAACATCTCAGACAATTATATGGTGTTTCCTTTTCTTCCTCTCATTTAGCAGGGGCATACGTATTGGTCGGATACCTTTAAAACCAATTCAATGCACACAGTTTGGTCCTGAACCCTGAGGCTTGTTATTTTAACACAACATTCGCCCTCCGGCGCTGATGCAACTTAACACAACAATCGCCTTTAACACAACATTCACCCGCCCCGCCCCTCCCCCTCCCCCAGTGCCGATACGCCCTCCCATACCTGTCGGTTAGCGGCGCCGATACGCCCTCCCATACCTGTCGGTTAGCGGCGCTGATACGCCCTCCCATACCCACCAGTTAACAACGCTGATACGCTCTCCCATACCTGCCGGTTAACAGCGCTGATACGTCCTCCCATACCCGGCAGTTAACAACGCTGATACCCTCTCCCAAAGCGTAACTTTGTCCCCAAGGGCTCTTTTTTTGGGTGGTCTGGCATGTTTTTTTTAAATAAGAGATGTTTCCTCTTAGGTCAGGAATTCAATAATTTTTATCTGACTTTTTACAATGCGCTTATGACCGTTTAGTGCCCTGGCCTTTGTTAAAAGACATTCGTGGTATGGAACGAATTCCTCGGCCGCGGCAGGAGCGTATTCTTTCGAACGACGGTTACAAATAATCCTGAAGCGAGCTACACCCGCGCCTGAGTGGCCGATTGAATGCTCTTCGCTCGGGTGAGGATGTCAACTTGGCCCCTGATATCTCAGAAAGTAATAAAACTAAAGACACCGAATTCACAGGGTGTACTGGCTTCGAATTGACATGGTGTATTGGCTTGTAGGTGAACTCACTTGTGCCAAAACTGGAGGTTCCTTTGCCGTCAAATAAGATCAAACAACATCAACTCTGTATTGGTGTCCAAAGTGCCCCAGACCATTCCATGCAACTACCGTGAACCTATATATCTGTTCTAAGCAAAAGGTTCATAGTGCTCATTTAAAGTCAGTCGCCTTGTTTGACCGTTCAAAGGTCATGGTGTCCAAAATCAAACAAACGCCAAAGATTACACTAGGCAGTACGTTCCCAAAAACTAAATAGTGACCTGGGTCATTTTAGGTCAGTGAACTATTCTGACGTTTAAGAAGTCCATGAAAGACGTGTAATTCGGTTCATGTTATCGATGAATCCAAAATGACCATCAGAAACTGGCCCCTTCAGCAAGCTCTTGATTAATAACACAGGCTGGGTATGACCTTGGTCTGACCTACATACCTGACCCCAGGTCAATGGAGTTTGTTCATTTAGTTGCTGGCTTTCCTAAGAAACCATCTCTGAGGTGTATGGCTTTGGCTAACACTCCGTTATTGCATCATATTCAACGATTCCTAGATGTTTTCTTTGCTGGCTCCATGGTCTGACTTTGACCTGCTTTAGATCCGTGTCCTTACAAGATTTGTCAATATTTTTGCCGCCAAACAATCAGTTATTACATTTTCTACAGCTACGCAAAATTTGGTGCGGCTATGCTACGCCGTTCGGAAGTCATTCCGGTAAAATCTTCGACGGCGAATATATTTGACCCCCTATCCGAGTGCGTGTTTAAGGAAGTGTTCCATATTTGTACAGGATTTTGCACTGAAGTAACCATCTGGAAGACTTTCGGTGCCGCTCACAATCCTGGCCTTCTTAAGACCGAAACTCCTCTTGTTTCTGAGTTGCACGCCCACGAAAATGGGACGAGTATTTCAGTGCATCATAATCACGTCATTCAAATCCTGCCACTCTGTACGTAACGCGGCAATCAAGGCCGAGAAAAATATGGTGTTCTACTTGTTCATGCCTGGTGCAAATATAACGGATTTGCAAGATTTACATAGCGCATTTGCAAGATAGCAGACAAGATTTGCAAGTATAGCGGCCGTCAATTCGTTCCCAATCAATATTGCGCAAGGTACGATGACGTAATCGAACAATGACGCATCAAGGAGCATATATGCTAGACAGAGAAAGTGTGCTGTCTAGATCAGTCATTTTTACCTAAAAGCATACCGATAGTTGTGGGTAAGCTTGTTTCATCATATCTGATGCTTGCTTCGATACCGTCAAAAGTGAGATGTCCTGTTTAAATGCTATCTGAAATGTGTTAAGAGGACGAAAAAATGCACTTGCCGATGGTTCGGGGCAGCACACTTCCTGTCCCTTTGACATGTCTTGAATTTGGCAATTGTATTTGCCTTATTCCTCGGAAAAACCTGGAGAATAGAGATATAGTTAGGTTGATATTTTGGCAACATGCCTTTCTCGAAACAATAGCAGAAGTGAATTCATTTCTGAATTGTTTGTATATATTGTTATACTTTATATGCATATGTTATACGTAAATGTTATATATTTCGTGCCCCTTTTATCCTTAAGATTGCATTGCGTATCAAAGGGATTGTTCCACATTAAGGATATTAAAGCAAATAATTCACTTCTGGTATTGTTTCGAGAAAGGCAGTTGCCGAAATATCAACCTAACTATATTTCGATTTTCCTGGCTTTTCTGAGGAATAAGGCTGATACTGCTGTTTTATCTATGTGACTAATGGTCCTCGCTAATGCAATGAACAAGTTACGTGTCTTGAAATAAGACCTTTGGCACGCGTTTGCTCGCCGTTATTCTAAGCATAGAGTAAGTGTGATATATTTCGTGCCACTTTTATGTTTAATATTGCATTACGTATCAAAGGGATTGTTCCACACTTAAGGATCTTAAAGCAAGCATCAGATATGATGGAACAAGCAGTCTCGTAATGACTTGTATGCTTTGAAGGTACAGGTAGCTATAAGTTATTTTTAAAACGAGTTATGTAATATGCAATATTGTGTAATAGTTTTAGCATACTTATTGCCAATACACAATATTTGTACTTCTTACAATAAATTAAAAATTGTTGTAGTGAGTAAAGAAGTAATAACTCATCCACTAAACAAAGAAATCGAAGCCATTTGCAGTAAAAGACCCTGCTGACTGCTGTCTCTTCTGTAGCTGGATAATGTAAATATAGGCTGAAGTGAATGATAGTCTTCAGTTGGCTGAAATTATGGATGAGCAGTAGCGGATTGGGGACACTATTGTAAGCACACTGCGAAGTGAGTTAATATTTTGGGTCGCTACTTGTAGTGACATATAGTGTTGCTTATCAGCACCACTGGGTGCAAGTAACGTCAACAAGGAAATTGATAGAGCGAGTTGCATGGTCGATGAAGTAACGCCGCCGAATGGCTTTTAATGAACTTCAAGACTGTCTTATTTTAACAGCTGCAGCTATTGCGTTGAATGTTGTTGCCTCGCTTGATGGTATGAACATTTGGTGGTAGGAGCTTTTACCAATGTATTGGGTCAAGTGGTTCACTCAGCAACAGAACTAAGTGCGATCACGATGAAAATAAGCTCAACATTCATAGCAAACTGCAACTTGCGCTGAAGCGAGCTTTGTTTGCTATGCGCACACGCACACGCACGCACACGCACACGCACACGCACACCACACACACACACACACACACACACACACACACACACACACACACACACACACACACACACACACACACACACACACACACACATATATATATATATATATATATATATATATATATATATATATATATATATATGTGTGTGTGTGTGTGTGTGTGTGTGTGTGTGTGTGTGTGTGTGTGTGTGTGTGTTTGTGTAGAGTAAGTGTGATATATTACATCATTATTCGCACAGGATACAGTGTCTACATATGGCGGTCTGCCGCACGTGTCTTGGGTAACTCAGTGTTCCGATCTTCACGCAGCTCCCAAGCTGGCGGCAAAGTCGTAATACCCATTTGAATACTGCTGTTATGCTGATGAATCACCCACGTCCGCGCGCCGTATTCAAAGGCCGGCCGTGCAGGGCCGCGAGCGTTGACTCATCGTGCTCGGTTTGGACGCCCCGTCCGGCGAGGCCGCGTTTTCCGGCCGCCAGGCCAAGCCGATATTGCACTGCCCTCCCCGCCTCCACGCTCGGGGAGGGAAGGCGCCGGCGTCCAGTCACTGTCAATACTCCTTCTTTCTGTCCCTCGTGCGTGCTGACCGTGGCCCGCGGAGTTCGGCTGGCCGGAGCAGCCGCGACCTCGGCTGCTCCGGCTGGCCGGTCAAGCCCGGTCGGTCCAGTCCGGCTTTACCTTCTAGGTAGCGTAGCACCGTATTGTGGTGTGGCGTGGCGTAGTATTGTAGCTTGTAGCTTGTAGCGTGACGTCTTGTCACGCTGGTGTGACTTTCATCACACCCTGCCACCGGGGCAGGCCGGCCTGTCACGCGGGCCGGCCAGGGGGCGCCTCACACGAATCCATCCTGTGGGAGCGCGCCCCATGGCCTGAGGCGGCACGGAGCGACACCGGGCAGCGCATGTGGGTCCATACCCTGAAGCGCACTGCGATCTCGGAGCGCGACTCATCCCAAGACCGCGCCCAGAGACGCCGCGGCGGCCCCCGCCGCACCGCCGGCCGAGGCGGGCACCTCTGACATGAACGCCGACGCTAGCACGTTGCAGACTGTCAGCAGCACGGAGGCGACCATGCAGATGTTGTTGGCCACCTCGCAGCCTCGGAAGTGTTTCGACTTGTTGATGTTGGCGCGGCCCTTGAACAGCAAGCATACCGCGATCACCACCTGCAGGATGAGGCTGAGCGACAGAAACACGATGCAGACGGTGTGGAAGGGCGAGTCGGCGTCACCCTTGGTCACCAACGTGCGCAGCTGGTCGGCGTTGGCCGAAAGCAGCGCCACGTCCATGAACCCCTGCGACACCGTCTTCTTGGTGCTGTACACGTCGACGTCCATGTGCGGCGCGGGCCGCGTATCAACCACGTCGCGCCACTTGGGACGCCGCCGCCGGCGCCCGAACGCCGCCTCGCCGTCGGCGCGCACGCCGTCGAAAGGCTCAGCCCCGGGCGGCGCGGCGCCGTTGAACGGCTGCTCCTCAAAGCCGTCGCGGCTGGCAGGGCTCAGTTCCGGCGCCGCCATGCTGCTCTCCAGACCGGGGCCGGACATCGTGTCGTCTCGGGCACCGCTCCACGCACTCACTCTCTCCGCTCGCTCTCGCCGCCCGCTGGCTCTGCTCTTCGACTGGTCTGCTGATACGGCGCCGGGTTCGGTTCCGTCTCGGGTTTCGGAGCTGGGGGGCGCTGGGGGCCGCTGACTGGCAGGCGCGTGCGACGGTCTGCAGGCGAATGGCTGCCCAGCGGCGGCTGCGCGGGTTTTGCTGGTGTCCGTCTGGACGGGATGTCCGTATCTTCCCCGAACGTCGCCGGACTGTCCCACGCTGGCGGGGCACTCTGCGCGACTTTGACGTAAGAACACCCTGGATATCACTATGCCTCACTGCCGGCGAAGTGCGGAAGCGGTGGGAGTTTCCCGCGTCAGAACCACCAGGGCTTCCCAGGTCGAACTGGCCGGGACACGACATCTGGTCAAGTCACCGGCAGCAAAAATAGCTCTGGGGTCTCACTGCGCATGCGTTGTGGATGACGTCAGGCGCTGGCTTCCTGGGTCTGATAGCCTGTTGGCCGCGGGCTTCGGCGCGTTCGATGATGGAGGCCGGATGGTCACAGCGTTATTATGACATCCATGTGTCCCAACTCGCCAAGATAAGCGGGGTGCTATGGCTGTATTTGTGGGCTGGTTAAGTACATCACAGGCACACTGTTTGCCATGATCATCAAACAGTAATGCGGTTCCGCTTCTGTGCATTGCTTTTGCAGGATGTTGTGCTCGCAAAATTCGAAGGTTTTCCCGCAGGCTGAGACCGGTGCAGCTCGGTTGTTTTCGGACGAGCGCCAGCGCCGCCTCATTCAAGGCGGCAGCTGTCGGCGGCACGGCCACACAAACGCCGCAGCATGACCCGGACTTGGCATTGGTCCACCTCTTGGCGTGCAGATGCAGGCTGATGGAAGGGTTGCTAGCGTGCATTAGCTCCAATTTTATACGTGACAGCTGCACTTGCACGATGCTCTATACACATGCTCCACCAGCGGTCGCAAGCTGCTGCCGGTCGCTGGTAACATCCCCACCTGGCCGCTATGTACAAGCGGCGATTTGCGGGGATTATTTGCGGGGATTCTCGCCGCCTTCGGTGGTGTAGATCGGGTATCGCATTTGTTCGCAACGTGTATCCGTTACCTGCCTAGCAGAGACCTCATTCATAATGATCCTACATTATGAATATCTTCCAGCTCAGTCTTGCAGCGCCGTGCATTCTGTGGGAAACCGATGAACATCTCCCTTCAATCATGGTGAATGATATGCACGGCTATAGGCATCTTATGCATACCCCATGGACGGTCCGCGTCTGTGAATCACAGCTTGCCGCAGCGATGGAGCCGGCGCAGGCGGCGATGGTAACGTGCCGTGACTGAACGCCACCGCCCCGCAATTACCCTCCGCTCAACCTTGCATTGTTTTCATTGCGCCATTGAAATGACGTCATGCCATTCGGGCGGCTGCAAATGCGCGGTGTCTTCCTACCTGGATCAGTGTGATGCAACACCGCCTGCGGCGGCGCGTCTGATGCTACCGGAACAGGTCATACCTGAGTGGATGAACTCGTGGAACTACGGAAGGGGCTTTCCTGTGCTGATGCATGATGGCAGTGACGTATGGTGGGATGGGTGGTGAAACAAAGAAGACGATTGGAAATGTATGCAACTTATCAGGGCCTTTTCAACATGCTGAGTAAGTGCAAAATGCTTAAGTGCTGAGTCAATTTTGTCCTCCCTCCCATGCCGCATAAGCGAGATATTTCGGTCGCTCACGACTGCTCTGGCAAATGCCAGCCGCGTGTTAGCCGAGTCATGTTTTTTAGCCAGTAGTTTGATACAGTTTTTATTGTTGTCTTTTTTCTTCGGGCGATGAAACATGGGATGAGAAGCATGAGGATAATATGTGGAGTTGTAGTTTTAGCGGTACATTAGTCAAAGCCATGTTTGGAATCGGTCATGTACTTGGATGTTTCAGCTCACTTAAAATTCCTTTAAAAGGCCTGCAGCCTGTATAAGCATGAAAGCATCAGTCCATGACATCATACAGGAAATTAAAAAAGAGTGCACGATTGTACGAAATTGTCAGTGCTCTTAGAACTGATGTCAGTAGCCGATGTAGTCGAAGCCAATCATGTACTCACGGCAAAGAGAAAGCATCACACACATATCGCATACAAGCGCTTAAAACGAAATGCGAACGACCGCTAGCGACCACTGCGCCGGCGAGACTGACCAGATAACACACATGGTCGCTTGGCTGGGCCGCCCCTGAGGCCACAAACGCCGCCGAGCCGTGACCGATGAATTCGGGCTTGCTGCAGGTGCTGGACAGGCGGGAGTGGAAGGCGCTGCGGGAGGAGTTCTCGCGGGACCCCGACCTGAGGCGGTGTGGACGGCGGCTACCGCGCTACTTGCGACGCCAACAACGACCGCAAGATCGACCTGGACGAGTGGCGCGTGTGTGTCGGCGCCGTCGAAGGTAGGCCGCCGATGCTGGACGGCGCGCCGAGCAGCTGCCAGTGACACCTGTCAGAGCCGCGTGTTGGTCGTCGGCTCACTCACCCTCCGATGTGGGGCTGACAGAAGTGCGTGCAGGAAAACACTGTGTTGATTTTTTAGCGTAATGCTAGTTTGTTGCCTTTTATCACTAATCCTGGTTGTTCTTTTACCGCTTTTCTTGATACCTGCTTAAACCTAATAATCATTCGTTCAGCTTGTTCAAATGTCCTTTTACTGCACCTCTCAGAACAACGGTGAGACATTGGCTTTGTGCAGTTTTTCGTGATGTGACACACGCTATATTAACGTTTTTGACTCAGGATTGAGACGCAACCCTGGAGTGTATATAGAAGACAATAAGACATCATCATGCTTCAATTTGTCGTGCTCATTGGCAATTACCACACCCCATTAAACATGGCCTCGGTTCGTTTATTCCAGAAGAACGTCGACCGACCAAGCGACCAAATCCGTTCGAGACGTACCTGATTAGCGACTGAGTGCTCACGGTCGCCTGTGGAGGGCCCCAAGCGCCGCACGTCGCCTGGATTCGGCCCGCAGTGGAGGAGCTGACGGAGGAGCCGTCACCAGCAGCTCGCCGTGGTCGGCACAGACCAGAGCGGGGTGAACGGCAAGTGCCGGGGACGGCGGCGCGCGCGAACGCGTCCCTCCGCGGCACGTCTGACACGTGGGAGTGGGTGACGAGAGTTCACCAGCTGTAGGCGCTCGCCAGCGGTGTGCAGCCTCGGCCCCTGCTCTGGCACGCTGGGTCACGAACTCGCTATCGGCGGAGAGGTCTGCTCCAGCACCTGTCATGACGCGCCGGCGGTGGGGTCCGTCCTGTGACACGGCCAGCGACTGTCTGTGCGTCGCACCGTCTGGCGGGGACGACGGTTTCGACCGGGGTCACCAGGGCCAGCAGGCGGCAGCTGCCGTGGAAGCTTGTGAATCTGTCACGTTGAGGACCGGATCTGCGTGTTCCTAGCCGGTAGCCGCTCTGTGGCGCCTAGCGTGGCGTTTTAGCAGGCTCCAGCTTGCCCGCATATCGGGCAGATGGCTCTGACCTTATAGTGCAAATTAAATATAATTGAGCAACTGTGGTGTTATATGACCACGACTGGAATCGGCCACGCCTCAGACCATCGCAACTGATGCCGCTGTTGTGCCATATGGTCATGTGCACTTATGTCGATGATGTAGATCATTAGCACGCTGTCTCAGGATTTTGTGTTGTTTGGACAGCAATCCCATATTCAGATAGCCTTCGCATCAGTGTTTTCTTGCTACCCTTAGCAACAATGGCCCTCACTGTCTTTATTGTCTACACCCAATATTTCTAGTGCTTATTTTATTTCTAAGCCCTCGCATTTAGGCGTTTTCTTACCATAGCTTGCCTCTATGTCGTCACGCTTGAACCAACGTATTTAATATCATCCCGCCCCTTTACCACGCTATGAACTTGTTGCCAACATTCTACGGAGTGTTGCAGGTGGCAAGAAGCCGTCTGATAACATGCAGCGAACAGTGAGTGTGTTGTGCCCCGCACCGCCAACAGGACGGCCGCCACAGGGGAAGGTTTCCTCAGACATCTTGCGGGTCTTCTCCCATGTCTGTTCAGAGGCGCGGTGTTGCTATTCAGCGGTCCGCTGGAAGCTGTCGCGGCTCCAACGGCCCAACCCGCCAGCCCCAGGTCGTCACGTCCTGGAAGCGTTGCCATACACGGTACCTGATGTCTCATTGGTAGCGCGTGGCTGGCGCGCCTCTGCGGGTGCGAGGCGCCTGGATCTGTTTCCGCATGTCGAGCGCGGCCCGGCCCAGATCTCATCCGTCAGACGGTTACCTTGTTGAACGCCACCCGCTCATGTCAAGACTGTGTCGCGTTCAGACGCAGTGCCAGGGATGCCAGCCATTCGCGCCAGCTTCCTCCCCACTGTTGTGTCGTGATTGACGTGATGCAGGTACTGACGCGCAGTGTTCTGTCGGTGGTGCTCGCTTGCTCGCTGCACAAAGAAATGGATCCGGACGGCAGCACCTGTAGAATTCGAGTGTGTTATCGCGCGTCTGGCGACGACATTTTTCATCCAGATGTGATGACAATGTTTGTAAATATCATCTCTCCATTGCATTTCGTGACGTTTGTTCATATCAGAGCTGGAAATGTTCGCCGGTCGCTTTGACAGAATTTACCAAAATACGTCCGGAAACACTTCGTGACCGTTTCGGTGAAAACCGATAGTGGACCGTCGCGACTGGGTCGGCCGTTTCGGGGTGCAGATAAACCTGTCAACACGTCAGATAAACGAGAAGAGCCGACTTCTCCGGCTAGTTACGGAAGCTGTACGACACAAATAGTTTTTCCCTCAACAAAGAAAGAGAGCTAGGTTGTGGTTCTTTCAAATGGGGGCTTAGCCCCCAACTTTGAGAGTGAAGTAAGTCACCTCCGGGAGGAAGGTCTGCTTTTTGTGAGTTTTGGCTGTGTTTTGAACCATTTTTTTTTAGGTCAGCTCCTCCTCCCGCTTCAACTTATTACCCCAGCTCAACTTACTTTGCAAAAACCATGCCTTTCAGGGAGTGGACGTCGGCAGGCAAAAATGCTGACTTCGCCTCACAGAAGAGATCTGAGGAAGGCCTGGTGGTTCTCGTCCAGAGGGTTGGGCTGTTCAGAGGCTGCTCAGGATGCCGCTAAACATCTCTCTCCACGCTCAAATCCCTGGGCCTGTGTTTGGCATTCGCTCTCAGGCAGCTTGCCCAGGGGTTATCTGGACTTCCGCCAAAGCCAGACTCTGGACGCGGGGTCAGTGCGTGACCGCACCAGTCTGCCGGAGCCAGACTCTGGACGCAGGGTCAGCGCGTGACCATCACCAGTCTGCTGACGCCAGACTCTGGACGCGGGGTCAGCGCGTGACCGTCACCAGTCTGCTGACGCCAGACTCTGGACGCGGGGTCAGCGCGTGACCGTCACCAGTCTGCTGACGCCAGACTCTGGACGCGGGGTCAGCGCGTGACCGTCACCAGTCTGCTGACGCCAGACTCTGGACGCGGGTCAGCGCGTGACCGTCACCAGTCTGCTGACGCCAGACTCTGGACGCAGGGTCAGCGCGTGACCGTCACCAGTCTGCTGACGCCAGACTCTGGACGCGGGTCAGCGCGTGACCGTCACCAGTCTGCTGACGCCAGACTCTGGACGCAGGGTCAGCGCGTGACCGTCACCAGTCTGCTGACGCCAGACTATGGACGCGGGGTCAGCGCGTGACCGTCACCAGTCTGCTGACGCCAGACTCTGGACGCGGGGTCAGCGCGTGACCGTCACCAGTCTGCTGACGCCAGACTCTGGACGCGGGGTCAGCGCGTGACCGTCACCAGTCTGCCGGAGCCCGGCGCGCTATAGTCACAGGCGTTGTTGCAGGAATTGGTTACATAAAGCGCAGCAGAAACCAAGGCTATTCTGACTTGTTGGTAAATGCATGAGGCCGTGCATCAAAGCTCACCGAAGACGCCGGCGGACTCATCGTGTGCATGTCAGCATAGCTGATTACTCCCATCCAGTAGTGCAGCAAGCAAGTCCACAACCACAAATATGCTTTTTTAGAATGCCAGAGCAGGGCGAGGTGGGTGGACGTAGAACGTACTAAGCAAAAGCCACTATCCTCACTCACCATATTGATAGCTGCCAGTGCTCACTTCCATTGCTGTGGGAAAGCTTAGTTGGAAAAATAGGAGGGGCCTTCAACACTGGAATCACTTGGTTTGGACGATTTCCATAATCCATGCGTCAATTCCTTTGCACGGCCCATGGCGTTTAGTGATAGCTGTTCTGAACGTTTGACTCAAGATGTTTGAAGTGCAACGTCCAATTATAACTTGTTCAACGTCGCACAACGACTTCCAAGCGGCAGGCTGCTCCCTAGCCGTTGTCAGAGGCTCATCGATTTTCTGAGAAGGCCTGGGAGATGCGCGGCTTTCAGCCGTGTAACGCGTCACGGCCGAAGTGACGCTCCCTGGCAAGGCTGTCACCCTCTTAGAATTGGTGGGGTAGATCAGCCGAAAAGATTGACCTAACTTGTCTCTAAATCCTGATTTCTCACCGGATTTTGTCCACTTGAATGTGCCTCCTTGATGTTCACATTTTAGGGAGCAAGAACTTTTTAAGACTATTTTCTATAGTCAAAATTGTTTTCTCGTAGAGGTATATCTTCCCGTTTCAAGTTAATGTGAGCTGGCTTCTTGTGAAAACTACATTTATTTGGGTAAGTATTCCCTGCTTGCTTATATGCGTTAACACGCACCCGGGTGGCCGGTTGGATACCCTTTGCCGGGTGAGGGGTCAATTAGAGCTCCCCTGAGATCTCAGGAACTAAGAGAGCTAGAGACACCAAATTCACAGGGTGTATTGGCCTGTACGTGAACCCACTTACGTTCAGTTTTAAGTTCCTGGGCCATAACCGTTGGGTCAAATAAAGTCAAACAATGTTAAACTCTAGGTCAGTCTCCAAAGTGCCCCAGAACCTAAATATCTGTCCTAAGCAAAAATTAACACGCTCATTAAGGTCACTGGACTTAGCATGACCTTTTCGAAGGTCATAGTGAACAAAATCATACGAGACTGCTTTGACTTTTGCCTTTTAAATAAACGGCAAAGATTACGCAAGGGCAGTATGGTCCTAAAAACAAATGTTGACCTGGGTCATTTTAGAATAGTACCTATCCTGACCTTAAAAAAGTACATGGAATATCACGTGCAATTGTGTTATCAATAATTGGAAAGGTCAATGGGACTTGTTCATGCAGTTGTTATGCTGTCTAGAGAGTATTTCAGGGATGTATGGCGTTGTCTAACACTCCAATGTCGCACGAGATTGAACGTTTCCCTAGAAACTGACGAACCGCGGTTTAATTGTATGCAACCATACCA